TAAAATAGGTGACACGAAATCTAAGAAATATGAGCCAAGATATGAGTCGATTAGGAAGAGCAACATGTTACTATGTTACAGATACGAAAAAGAAAAACTGGAGGGAGGAAACTCGTAAAGACACATCACAAAAATAACTTCAGAGCTAAAGAGAAACACTGAGTTCAGACTGACATGGCTTACTCAGTGCCTAGCACAATGAAGGAAAACATACCCATGCTTATGCATAGTTTTGTGAAAGTTCTGAACACCAAAGACAAAAAAGATGCTGAAAATGTTTCAGAGATTGAAAAATTACATAAAATGTCACCATGAAGCGTTACACATAGCCAAAGTGCCAAAAAGGATGAGAATAGAATAAAGATGTTCTCAGATGTGCAAGAATTCAAACATTTACCTTCTACTTGACTGACCCTTTATTAGGAGGGTACTGGGGGATGTACTCTGGCAACAGAAGGAAGTACAGGAAAACGCCATCGCCACTAGCTCCACCAGAACTAATCTATGTGTATCACATAGGGGAATTATATATACTAGTTATGTGAAATTATTTAATTGTTAATTATATACACGTATGTTTCTTTAGGAAATTCTCCAGCAGGACAAGCGTGCAGCAAGCCTACAGAGTAACCAGTCCAGACCAAAACAGCAAGTTGGAGCCTCTGGGAGGAAGACCTCCAGGAAATAAGGGATTTCATGTAGTAGGTAGTACAAACCGGGCCATGGGAGAACTCAAGTGCATGCAAACAGCAGAGAGTGCTGACAGAACAGAAGTCTCTCCAAGTCTCTGGCCACATAGTAAGCAGCCAGTTCAAACTGGAGCAGAAGTCAGGGGCCTTCAATAGGAATAGGGTGGATTCCCAGACATAAGTGGAATAAGGAACTAAAAGATATTCGGGCTGCAGCCATAAGCAGGCATATGAAAGAAAAGACAAAGAAAGGAAAGAAGGAAAGGAAAAGGAAAAGAAAGGAAGAAGGAAGGAAGGGAGGGAGGGAGGGAGGAAGAAGAAAATGTGATCAGAAACTACAGAAAAAAACAAAAACCACAAAGGAAGGTCATGGTTTAATATAAAGCAAAGTAGAACATGGTAAGGTTTGGGACAGAAAGTAAAGGGTATAAAAAAAGGAGACTCCATTTGAAGTCTCATCTGAGCAGCATGGGGGTCATGACTGCAACTATAGAAATGGAATCCTGACCCTACACTGCACTGTAATGAATGAAATTACCATAGTCACAATACTGCAAACAGTTGTTTGCCTTTTAACGTTCTATCAACAAACCCCAGAAAACTTTATTATGGTCAAAGAACAATGGACAATAGAAGAGGACAAGTATAGCTACGACAACTCTCTGATGCACCCCTAGGGACTCTCGTAAGAGCAAAATTCTTATTTCCCTAGCTGGCTCTGAGTCGCCCTCAGGAATTGTCTTGGATAAAGACAGTCACCTCAGCCAAGGTCACACTTGAACTCAGGAAGCTCACTCCAGGTGATCCAATTTGGAGCGGTAGAGGTCCCCCTCCTGCCCCAACTTGGGACATCTCTGAAAGGCCATCCCAGCCTCAGAGCTCCCTGTGGGGCTGAGGACAGCCTCCTTTGAGGCTGCATCATAGTCCATCTCCATCTGCCCCGTCCTGATTCCCTCCCTTCCTTTCCCTTCCCTTCCATACTCCCTAAGAAACTCCTGCACATTAATCTCCAGCTGTGAGCCTGCTTCCCTGGGAGCCTGACCTGCACCACCAACTGACAGAAAGTTGGGAGGGAGGGGAGGGAGAGAGGAAGGACACGCAGGCACATTAAATCATCTTTACAAAGTAGAAAATCCATAGCTCTTGTCCCTAGTTGATGGGAAAAGAGAAGGAGGTATACAGATATTATTTGAAGATACAAAAACAGCCAACAGGAAGCCTGAAAATAGCAATATATTGATAAATGAAGAGAAGGGGAAAATGGTAGGAGAGAACTAGTTGGTCACGAGCTGATAACTGATGAACTTTGGTGATGAGCATGTGAGCTTTATTATACTATTTTCTGTACTTTTGTATATGTTTGCTCAATTACTGTAATCAAGAGTTTAAAATATAAACATATAAAGAGGAAAGGATGCGTGAAGTACAATCTCACCTATCAAAGCAGGAAGTCAACAGCTAATGCCTAAAGGTGACAACACACAAAAGGTGATATAAATACAAACAGAGTTATTACAAAGATAAAGGCAACCTGTTAGAAAAACTGGAACCAGAGACATTTCAAATGAGCATCGGATCGCTGAGGGTAGGGTGCAGGCCTCTGCTGTGCATTCTGTGCCTTTGGTTCTCTTGTACTTGCTGTGAGTTGAATGTCTCCCCTGCCCCCCCCCCCCCCCCCCCCCCCCACAGAAGATTGGTGCAGTCCTAACTCCCAGTACCTCATCAGAGGACCTTATTTGGAAATAGGGTCTTTACAGGGTGCTCAAGTTAACATGAGGTTATGAAGTCGAACCTAATCTGACTCATGTCCATAAAGAAAGGGAAGTTTGGATAAAGATACAAGCATACCTTGAAGGAAGATGTCGGCGGGAAATGGAGGACTGGAGTGATGGCTCTACAAGCCAAGGAACGGCAGAAAGTGCCAGTAACCCACAGAAGCTGGAAGAGGCAAGGAAGCATCCTGCCCCCACTAGTTTCACAGGGAGCGGGACTTTTCCAACACCTGGATTTCAGACTTCCGGCCTCCAGAACTGTGGACAAGACGTTTCTGTTGTTCTAAGTCACCTAGTTTGTGCTACTCAGTCACAAAGGCCCTAGCAAACTAATACAACTTCAGAACATTTCAAGATGCAATGAGACTGATGGGCTGTGAGAGAAAACTGCACGCAGCGTTGGCAGAGCTCTGTTCTGGTTTTTAGTTCTCTCTCTTTTTTTTTTTTTTGCTGGCTAATAGCAGCAGGACAAGTGTGAAACCAAGTGAAGGCCAGTAAGAAAGCAGTTTGGGTGACAGGGGTTAAGAGTAAGCCTGTGAAAGAACTGTTTTGGGCCAAAGAATGAGGTCCTGAAGTTTAAGATGTGTGAGGAGGGACAGATCCTGATAATGATAAGGTCTACGGTGCCACCTTGAAGGTGGGGGGCTGAGGTGGACAGGCAAAGATATTGTCAGAGGTGAGGAAGAAGGCAAGGGGCTGCAAGTGGCACGGGCTGCCCAGGCAGACACTGAAGTCGCCCACAGGGATGGCAGGACTCATGATGTCAGGGAAGCCTGTGAGCCAAGTGCCCAGGTCTTCAGTGAATGAGGGAGTAGAACCAGCAGGTGCTGTGTAGCCCATTACCACAATCTCAGTGGCTGTAAACATCAATTTATTACTGCATAGTTTTCACAGGTTAAACGTCTGGCGGCAGCTTAGCAAGGCCTCCTGCTCAGGGGTTCACAAGGCCATGGTCAATTTACTGGCCAGGGCTGTGTTCTCAGCTGAGGCTCTGGGTTCTCATCCAGGTTTATTCAGGTTGTTGGCAGAGTTCAGTTCCTTGTGTGTGTATGACTCAGGTCCCCATCTTGTACCTAACATCAGCCTAGAGATGGCTTACAGTTCCCTGCCAGGTGGCCCTCTCACAGGTGCTCTCAAAACATAGCAGGGGAATCTCTAACTTCAGGGAATGGCTGGCCCTCTTCTGGAAAGCTCACCTGAATCAGGTCAGGCCCACCCAGGAGAGTCTTCCTTCCGATTAACTCAAAGTCAACTGATTAGGGGCCTCAATTCCATCTGCAAAACCTCTTCACCCTTGCTATATCCTAGTGCTCACAAGCAAGTAGTCCGTTTTGCCCATACACAGGCCAGGGGAGGGGATTATATGAGTACACGTATGCTGGGGGATAGGAAACATGGGGACTATATGGAATTCTACCCAGCGCAGTTGAGCCCTGTCTTGGGCCTCAGTTCCACCAGATGACAAATAACTTAACCTAGCCAAGGCCATATTTTTCCAGTTACTTCAGGGGTTTCTTACTAATTACTAATTATCATTATCAAGCAATTGAGGATTTTCTCATCCTTGGCCCCAACCTATCACCTAAATTCTGTGAGGCTTACTTAGTTTTATAGCATCTGGAGAGAGACAGAGACAGAGACAGAGAGAGGTGGGGGAGGGGGGCATTGGTCCTTGGAATTGAGAAGTATGCACGCCAGCATCCACTGCAGCCTGGAGTCTCACCTGGCCCTCCGACACAGCACCCCTTCGTGCTGGCCTCCAGCGAGGTGTCATCCTCCTAACCTGGTGCACAGTCCATACCTCTTTCCACGGCAACATCCTTGAAGAGTCCCTCCCTCCCTCCCTCCCTCTCTCTCTCTCTCTCACACACACACACTCCTTGCAAGCCCCTCCTGGGGCTGTTGCACCACATCACTTCAGTGCTGAGCTGGTGCGAGAGGAGGTACCATCCTGCATGGCAGCACAAGCCCCCTCACCCTTGGACTTCTACTACACTCCCACCTCTGGCCCGAACTCCAGGGGCTGAGGGCAGCACACATCAGCAAACTGGTAACTATTCCGCAAACCCCTGCCACATCACAGGGATGAGGCTTCAGGGAAGACTTCAGGACTCGTCTCTCACTCAGGATCTGGGGTCCTCAGAGGGGCACTCCTAGCGGGCAGGCTCTCACCCTTCCGTTTGCTGCTATGTCCCCAGAGCTAGCACTGTTTGCTGGGTTCCAAGGGGCCACTGGGGTGAGAAGCATGATGGAAATTACCTGGATGGGAAGGCAGAGTGGCCCAGGCTGTGTACTCAGCCTGCTGCCAGGAAGGGTTCTCTCACTCTGCAGAAGAGGCAGGCAGGGGCCTGGTCTCCGTGGGGCCGTGAACTGGTTCTGAGGAGGTGCCTGGTGTGACCTGCGACCGCTGCCAAATTTGCTGGGCACTGAGGGCTCTGCTCCCAGAAGTGGCCGTCTCAGGACCTGTGAGGCAGTGCTGGGACTCGGCTCTCCAACTGCCTGGATCTGGGCTGCCCTGCGGCTTCTGACGCAGCTGTGAAAGTGACTTGGATCACAACCAGAATCTGATTCTACTGAAGCAGAAGTACAGTCCTGTGCATCACGAGGGAGCAGAGGACAGGCTGGCTATCACGACAGCCTTGACATCTGCCTGCGTCGCACACTGTGCCCAGGACTTTACGAGGTGAGAGGATTCTCTCCTATGGAAGAGGTTAGTCAAAGCCCTGTTGGCTTCTGGACATCCTGCACCATCCCGCGACCAATCTTTCCTTCCCTTCCCTTCCCTCTCCCCTTCCCTTCCCCTCTCCCCGCTACCCCTCCCCTCTTCCCTCCCCTCCCCTTCCCTTTCCTTTCCCAGACTTTGCCATCCTGCCATTCACTGCTTCTGCCAGCTCAGCTCCAGATGGGCGGACAGGCAGAGCTGGGAGCAGACAGCCCTAGCGCCCTCCAGCATGGAGGTAGAGAATTTCTAAAAGTCTCCACCAGGGGTCGCACGAGCGCCCATGCTTGCTAGGATGGCTTCACAGATGACTCCCTTTACAAAATCATTTTATAAAGCATAAGGGAAAAACAAAACAGAAATGCACAACCAGGTCTTTGTAATTATTTCTCTGTCACCAAGTGAGGTATGACTACTTCTTTTTCCATTTGCGTTACATTCACCTGAATGACGACGCTGAACTCTGTCTCACCCCGCCTTCCTCCTGGTTTTCCCTGTTCCTCTGTGACTTAGGAATTCTGCTTATCCCCCCACATCTAGCTTTACAAAGAGCCTCAGGAAAGGGAAACAATGATAGCTGCCTCGGAATAAAGGAGGACTCCCACAGTTGGGGGCTCCCGTGTGCAAGGTGAAGGGCTTCTGGTCCCTTGGGTCTGCAGTCGCAGCCTAAGAGCCTGTCCCATGGTGCCAGGTCACTGTAGGCCAGGCACTGCCTGCTTTGCACCCTCAGGCTCTGACAAGCAAATGCTTCTTGCAAAGGGGAGCCCACAGCTGGATTGCCAGGGAATGCCCCATGGCCTTCTGCACTTCTAACGTAAAAGCTGCAGACAAGTCAGACTGGGAAACACTGCAAGGCTTTGCTGATGTTCCTCCAGGGACCCCCCTCCCCACCGCCCACCCTGCCTCTCTTAGGTGTCCTATGAAACACACCTCAGGCATGAACTCACACACCGATAGAAGGAACAACTAAAGACAGCCTGAAATATAACACCTTTTAGGGGAAGAAAACACAAGTGTAGGAGGAACCTTGGGATGTGCACCCAATTACCATGTACCTCATCAGACAGGGGTGAGCATGAAGGTAGTAGCTTATACCAAAAAAGGCAGTAAGGGGAGCAAAGTTGCTGGCATGATGAGGGAAATCAGTCTTCATTTGGTGTGACATGATGGGTTAAGTATCAAAAGGGATGGCATGCTCTGCCAAGAATTTCAATTCTGTCTTTACCAAGATAGTATGTCCCTAAATACCACATGCTGCCATCCGCTTTTTACTTGAAGGTATGTGGCATTTGGGCAGCCGTGGATATCACCCCTTGAGGAAGAGGCATGATGTGGTATTTCTGCAATATTAGTGAAAAGTCTACCAACATGGGAAATTTCTCTAAGAATCTCTAAGGCAACAGTAACAACTTTTCAGGGGTGGAAGGCACACGAGAGGGGGCTGTTGCTCAAGGCCATGTGTTGTTCACATTAAAGGATTTTAAAAGTCCTCAAAGTTGGGATTTCTCCCTGTTGAATATTGGAGCCCAAGACTTGCCTCGGAGCCCTGGGCAGGAGCAAAGCCTTGAAACTCCCAGTCCTAGCCTTGACCTTGTACCCTGGGCAGACACCACCAGCTGCAAAACGTTATCATCCCTGACTGCCTGACTGACCCCTGCTAGCTGCCGGGCCCCCCATTTCTCTGAGCAGCGGTGTGTTGAGCCATCACGTGACAGGACGGGGAAAGAGCATGCGCCCCAGCGTGGCCTTGGCCCACCGCTAAAACCCCCTGGGCCTCATCGGGAAATGTGACTCTCACAGACAGACCACGTAGGGGGCCATTCCCAGCCTCCAGCAGGCACTCAAGAAACGGGCTGTCGGTAGCAGTTTCTGCCTGCCCGGCTGGACTCAAGCTCATGGAGTTCCAGATCCCAGCCTACCTAGCCTGCCCAGCCTGCCCTAGCTCCAGTCCCTCTGGGGCACGGCTGCAGCGATCACCAGCTCTCCTGGGCCCCACGCCATGGCTTGTGAGCTTCAGAGAGATGCCAGCTGGGCCAGTGAAAGCTTTCCAGCTATGACGCTGCAGCCTGCGGCATGGAAGGCTGCAGCCTTCATCCAGGTGATGCCCATGACGCAGCTGCCCGACAGGCTCTTGGGAACACATAGGGCATTTTCCTGGTGCCCCTTTCATGGCACTACGATCAGGGCAATTCTGGTTTTCCATGTTCGGTGTAACTTGTCTTCTGCATCAACGACAGGTGGCTTAAGGAAGAAACCCCCAGAGTGATATGAAAGCAGGAGGGAGGGTGGCATTAACGCTTCTCACATCATTATCAGCCCACGATGGGGCCCAAAGTCAGACAAAAGACCTCAGCACCACTCTTGTTGCTTCTTTTTCCTGAAACATCTTTGTGCACCAAATTAATTTCAGCTTTTGCAAGTCCTTGAACGCTTACCACTGCCCCAAGGACTGTGCATTGTTACTATATCCAGCATACAAATGTGCAGACTGAGGCTTGGAGAAGGGTCACCACTGACTCAAGGTCTCACAGCCTGTTGAGCTGGAACCTAAACCCCGGCCTCTTAGCCACAACACCATATGGCCACAGACAGCCCCAGGCCAGGGCACTGGTCTGGGCTGCTCAGCCCTGTGCTGTGACGGTGATCACCCTCTGCCCTCGTGGGCAGCCAGTGTGCATGGAAGGTCACTAAGGCACAGAAGCAGGGGTGGGCAGGCAAGAGAGAGCTTCCAGGTCATGGGCTGGCAGAAAACCCTAATTTTGCTCAGGGACAACATGTACTTTGCAATTTAGGGCCCAGATGAAGTCTACTGGTAATACCATTAGCTACCGGGTATGGAGTGAGGCCCGTGTGCCACTGCCTGAAGTTTACATCCCGGCAATGCTGGGTGTGGCTTCTACCACCCTGAATGGAGGTAAGCGAAGGTCACACAGCTCGTCAGTGACAACGACTGGCAAAGAAAGGACTCCAGCCCAGCCCACTCACTTCACCCCACGACTCAGCAGTACTCATCTGGCAAAGAAGAACACCACGCCCACGTCACCAGGAGAAGCGCGAGGAAACCAACCTGCAGCGAGCACTTGCTCCAGGCTCGGCCCTGTGCGGACTGCTTCGGCTCTGAGGCCACCTGCTGTGCCTGACCACCTTGCCTCCCTAACTTGGCTCACGTCAGCTGCTGGCGATGACGCGCTCTCCAGTCAGACTCCTCGAGGTGACGGGGGAAACATCTTTCCAGAGAAAGTGGAGACAATGCACAGAAACGTGGCAATTAAAGACCTTCCTTGGAAAGCTGCTTTCAGGCATCTTGCCATCCCAGGCAGAGTTAACCAACAGGCCTCTCAGGGAGCAAGCCAGCCCACACAGCAGAGTGACTAGCACAAGCCGCGGCACTGTGCCCTTTCTGCCCATCTCCTCCAGCTGCCTTTTGCGTTTGCGCTGGTGAGAAGAGCATGCTATGAAAGTAGGGTGACTCTGATGCTGCCAAGCTTCCTGGGGCGTCACCTACATCTCAGAATCAGAGGCTCCTAAGTCACGCCACATCCCAGAATTGTGTGGGTGGGCCCAGGCTTTGTGTGACTGCACTGGGAGACCACCGGGCCTTGGCATTGCCTGCAACAGAGTGGGTGAATTTTCAGTGACATAAACAACTGGCATACACCCACGCTTGCCAAGGGGCCTTCCTAATTTTAGCTCTATGTTCATCCCATTGCCACCATGGAAAACTGTGCTTGGCCCCAAAGGAGATTTCACATACTGCTGCAGGTCGGCAGGAGGTGAGGTACCTGGCCACCCAGGTTGACCTGGGGCAGGGCCTCGGTCCCGCCTGTCCTGGGAAGGACATCCCTGCTAGCTAGAGGCTGGAGAAAGGACACATGTCCAGGAGCCCTAGCCCTCCGTAAATCCTCAACTTGCCCTAAACGTTGGCTCTTATTGGTGTTAGTATAGCAATTGCACAATACCTCATCTTGCAAAAAGGGCAGGGCCTGGCAAACACATCGACATCTCCTCACAGAAACAGACGACTCTTAACGCCAAGTGGGACAAATAATATTAAGAACGCTGTAAAATAGCACTTGCGGGCCTCGGCCCTTGGGCGGGTCTAGCCCACCCGCTGCGCAGATCCTCCCCGGCCCTCCCCCTCCGGCCGGCCCCGCTGCCCCCTAAGCTCGCCACAGCCCGCTTCCCAAGCCCTTCGCGGCTCCTCCAGTGCCTCCACCTCCGCCCAGACACTCCAAGCCTCGCCCTGCTCCTCCCTTGGCTCCACACCCACTCAACTCCTCGCGAGCCCCGACGCACTCCGCCAGCTCATCCTGCCAACGCTTTTCCCTAGCTCCAGCCGGCTTTTCCCCCACCTCACGCTCCCAAGCACCACTAGGCGACCGTCCTACCCAGACCAGCCCCTCCCTAGCCCGGCCCCGCACGCCCAATGGCTCCACCCCTGCCCAGACCGTCCCCCAAACTCCGCCCAAAGCCCCACCACGTTCCTCCCGTGGACCAACCCCGAACCAGCTCCTCCCCAGCGGCGCCACGCGCTCTCCAGCCCCGCCCACCCCACAGTCAGGTGCCCCTCACCTGCGTTTCCCTGGCTCGACTCGGCTCCTCCCTCTACCACAGCTCTTTCCCGCAGCTCCGCGCCACTCCTCCCTGACTGTCGCTACCCTGCTTTCCCCCAGATCCAAGCTGCTCCTCTCCTGCTATACCACACTCTTCCCTCAGCTTATCTTTAGGCGATTTCCCCCGGCCCCGCCTCGCCCAGCTCCTCCCCAGCTTTCCCCCAGATCCACCCTACTCCTCCCGAACCTGCGCCCCGCTCCTGTTCCATCCCCACCTCTGTCTCGCCTTTCCCACTCACGCCCTGCTCCTCCCCTACCTCCTCGTCCCCAGCTTTGTGCCACCTACGCTCCGCTCCTCGCTCACCTACTTGGCTGCAGCTCTGCCCGACTCGTTTCGGAGCTTGGCTCCGCTCCTCCTCCAGCTCCGTCCCACTCCTCCCCCTACTCGGCCCAGCTCCTCCCACGGCTCCACCCCCGTCCAGCTTCCCGCAGCCCAGCTCCACCCATACGATGGCCTCTCCACTCCCCTTCCTGCCCTTCCCGCCCCCGTTCCTTTCCCTCCTTCCCGTTAGGCTCTCGCCCGCCGGTCGCGGGCCCCAGACCCCGCCGGCTCATCCCGCGCGCCTCAGGGCCTAGTGAGCCCAACAACGCCGGTTAGCAACAGGGCCTATGAGCGTACGGGCGCGTGTACGTGGGCGCGTGACTATTAATTGCCCGTCTGCGAGCCTGCCTGGCTGCGTAAGGGAGGGCTGCGCTCCTGCACGTGCGTGCGTACGTACTTACGAAGGTACGAGTCTGCGCACAACAGGGGCGTTAGATTCTGCGCCCCCTCATCCGGTTGAAGGACAGCTGTCAGCTGCTCCCGGTGCTCGGTGCCCGGGCGGCGGAGGGAGTGTCGACGGCGCTGAGGCAGCCACGACGCGGGCCGGGCGCTCTGTTCTCTCTCCGCGGAGCGCGTCGTCTCCTTGCCTGGGCGTGGGAGGCGGTGGTCCTGGCGCGGGCATCCTCACGAGACCACGGGGAGGCGGAGGACTGTCGTGCCATGTGGCCGCCGCCTGGTCAGCCGAGCGGGCCCCCCACTCGCTCGGCGGGACCCGCCCCGCCCGTCCGAAGGAAGTCGGAACCCGCCAGGCGCATGCCAGCAGCTCTGCCCTCCGCGCGCAAGGTTACCGCTGGGCTGGGGTTTCCTGGACCCTGTGCCTGGGAGCACCAGCAGAGCGGCGGAGGCCACCCTTCTCGGCCCCGGCCCCAACCCCGCCACCGTCACGCGCCCGCCATCCTTCCACGGCCGTGGAGCAGCGACGTTCGTCTGTGCCTAGAAGCGCCAGTGTGCAGGGCCACGCGCACCGGTGCGCCGCCCTTCCTGTGCTCAGCGCCTCCCGCATGGCCCTTGGTCTGTGGCCTCAAAGAGGCCCCTGGCTGTGTGGTGGTCAGCTGGTTGCCTTTGGCACCCCTCCCGGCTGGGCACACCCAGGATGATGTTGAGGGGAACGGTATTGTTCGTAGGGTCCCCGAATCCTGGGCCCATGGACAGTGTGGGAGGACTTGACACTTTTCTCCTATTGGACTCCGGGTCTGCTGGGCTGTAAGGACACCCTCCACTTGAACTTACAAGAAATGATTTTCTGTGCCTGCTGGTTGGCAGCCCTGTGGACCCTGGCAGTGAGGGTGGGGGGATACCCACTGCCATGATTAGCAGGATCAAACCGTGAGCCAAGTGAGGTGTTTCCCATCAGATGGACCCTCCTGGGTCCTGGTGGTCTGCAGTCCCCGCTGAGTACCAGACTGTTCTGGTCATTAGCCAGCAGTGCTGTCTTGTACCTAACCACCTGTTCTCACGATCCCTCTTGTCTTTGTGCAGATGAAGAAGCCGAGACAAGTGGGAAAGCGCGTCATCCCAAGTCCACAGAGCAGGTACTCTGTGCCTCCGAGACAGGAGGGCACCTTTAGGTCCTCCCTCATGATATGGTCATGTTCGGACATACTAGGGAATGAGACTTCAATACTTGGAAGGCGGGGCTGGGGTGTGCGTGGGGGCAGAACATGAGTACAGTGCAATGCAGCACAACCTACAAGGCCCCTGAGATGGGAACAAACTCGAGATGTTCTGGGGGAGGACGGAAGGCCTTGATGGCTGAGGGGTGGTGAATAAGGGAAAGAGCAGAGCAGGCTGCTGTTGGTGGGGGGGAGGGCGTCAGATTTCCTGGGGCCCAGTGGGCCCTGGTGAGACGTGCATCCGTGCTAGTTGGGGGCGGAGCCCCTGGAAGCTTTCAGCAAGGGAGCGACGTGATCACATCGCCCCTGGACCAGAACCACTCTGGCCACAGTGGGGGCACTGCGAGGCAGGGGCCGTCGGGGAGACTGCAGGAGAGGGCAGTGGGACTCTGCAGACTTGGACCAAGAGTGTGGCCGTGGAGACGAGGGAAAGGGGTCAGGTTCAGGATAGGCTGTGGAGATAGCAGCCATGTGACGTGAGTGGTGGGTGCAGGAAAGGGAGCACGGGCGGCCGCTAGGTCCGGGACAAGAACAACCAGGTTGGTGGCAAAGGCACTTGTGGAAGGGACGTGGATTTGGGGACCTGAGTCTGTGCTGGCCATGGAAGTTGAGGCCAAGCAGCTGTGGCCCATGTGGAGGTACGCAGAGCAGGCAAGCGTGCGACACGGAAGCCTGGGAGGAAGGGCAGGAGGGGCAGTCAGCGGTGTCGGGGCTGCCGAGCGGTGAGTGAGAGGAGGAGACAGCAGGTGTGGGGCGGGTCACTGGTGCCTGTGGTGACGGGTGTACTAGCGGAGTTGAGGGTGACAGTGCGTGGAGAGGAGGGAGAGGCTGCAAGCGTAGACAGCTCTGCTGAGGACTGTTGCGTGGAGGTTTAGACAATGAGGCAGACGCTGGAGGCCTCTGCAGGCACAGGCTCAGGGGGTGGGTGTCTTTGTCCCCGTGGCTGTCTGTGCTGGGAGAGGGCTAGAGCCGGTGCCCTGGGCTGTGAAAACAAGGGGCCCTCCGTCCATCCTCTGAGCTGCCCTGGGGCTCAGTGAACTTGGTCCTCAAAGACAACACATGCCTTCTGGGGCCCGTGCCTTTCTCTCACTGTCCCCACCCACCTTCCCAAGCTCCCCAGAGACTCCATCTGCTGGATGAGTCCCCCCCAGTGATGCACCCCCTCCGTTCCTGTCAGCTGACTGTGTGGCACTGGAAGAGAGGAGGCAACCATCTCCACTCGCCCAGCATCCTGGTCACTGGGGTTTCGGGCACCCGGGGGACGTTGGGGAGAGGTCAGGCCCATGGGCCGTGAGCTTGGAGGGCTGCTGGACTATGCTCATTGACATCCACGGTTCTGTGCTTCCGCAGGCCATGGGAGGTCCGAGGGGCTGTGGGAAGATGACGTTCGGCTGCCTGTCCCTTGCAGGGGCCCCTTGGTACCTGCCACCCTCCCTCAGCAGTGTCACTGGGGCCTGCCCGTGACTTGGGTGGGGTCGTGCAGGATGAGGCCCTCTAGTCTCGGCTTCTCTGCCTCCTGCGGCCTCGCCCAGAGCTCCCCGAGCAGCGTTTGGCTCGTGGGAAACGCTGACTGGGAGGCACCCCAGTCACTCCTCCGTGCCCACTTGGCGATACCGCGTCAGTCTCCTGGAGGGAGTAGCGTGAGTTGAGTGAGCACGTTGTCCCCCAGGCAGCCTGGGCTTACAGAGGAAAATCATCCAGGTGCCTCTCCCTTTGTGCACAGGGCTCATGGACGTTGGGGACACTGTGCGGTGCCCAGAACTCCTAGCTCCTGACGAGGCTGCACACCTGGAAAGCCAAGCCGTGCTGGCCGACCTGAAGCACAAGTACCTGACCACCCTGGCCAACCCCAGGTGGCTACTGGAGCCCATCCCCAGGAGAGGCGGGAAGGATGTCTTCCAGGTAGACATCCCGGAGCACCTGATCCCCTCGGGCGCGAGGCCTGACGAGCATGGGCGCCTCAGAGGAAGGTTGCCAAGAGAGCAGGCCAATCACGACCCATCAGCCAGCCCCACGCCACACACACTCGAGTCGGCTGCCAGCTGGATCGGCAGCCATGGACAGCGCTGCCCAGAGTGTGCTGCTCCCCTAAGCAGGTCCCCACTCAGCTGCAGGGGACCGGGGAGCGGAACTGTCCTTGCAGGACACCCCCTGGGCTGGCGACAGAGGCTCAGGGACTCTGACCTTTAGGGCAGAGGGAAAGCTGCCAGTGAATGTCCTTGCGCTGCCACTGATTTTGGTCCGGCTGATTCCTGGAGTGTATAAAGAAGCGTGTTTTAAGAGCCCTGCTTCGTTCGCTCCCCTCTCTGGTCAAAACTCGTGGAAGGCTCGACCAGCACCCGGGGGACAAGCAGGCGCCGAATGATGGCCCGAGAGAGGCCAGCCATGGACAGCCTCGTTCATGAGCAAGGGGACATCAGGCTTAGAAGTGAAGTGAGCCTGTGTCTGTCCTTGCTTGTGACTCTTGCCCCGTTGTGACAGTG